ACCCTAGAATTGCCCGGTAGTATGTATGTGATGTGATTGTATGGTATGTGGTACGATGTGGAAATTCACTAAGCTTCGTGCTTAAAGTTTATAGTTTTGGTTTCATGTACCTCTTCAGCGAAGGGGAAGGAGCTGGCGCGGTAGCGGCACATCATACACACACATTGTTTTCTGCACTATGAGTTATTCTGGGAATTGTACTCTGATATTATTATGTTTTACGATTTGGTTTTCAGACTCAAGACATGTTTTTATATGATCTGTTGATATTTTGTTACAAATGTCTTGCAAATCACTTAATCAAAAATGAAATTTTTAGACGTGAAAATTGGGTCATTACACATAAAATACATTCAAAATACACATATACATACAAATACACATCCATCTCTACAAACACAAAATACACATATAAATACACATCAATGCTAGAAATTTAATAAAGAGAAGTGAAAAGGAAATGGAGAAAAATGGAGCAAAGATGGGTGGAATTGCGAAGTTCTTTGTCAAATTTCAATGAGGTCGACGATAATGGTGAGAAAGAAGGGAGAACACAGAAAAATGAAGAGAGGGGTTTTATTGTCGACGGTCTTTAGCGGCGACACATGTGAGGGAAAACAACGCGGAGTTTTCTACGTCGTTGGATCATCTCTTAAATCGACGGATGAGATTGAAATGACACGGATCGCCAAAATAAGCCTTTAGCGGCGACGTGCACTCTTTAGCAGCGACACACCGGAGGGAAAACAATGCCGGATTTCTTATGTCATCCTAGTCGTAGGATCATCTCTTAAATCGACGGATGAGATTGAAATGACGTGGATCGCCAAAATAAACATTTAGCGGCGAAAGGGACTTTTAGCAGCGACAAAAAACGCCTTTCTTTTTTGTCGCTGCTAAAAGTCTCCGTCGCTGCTAAAGGCCTCGCTGCTATTGCCGGTTATTGTTGTAGTAAAAAGATAATGAAAGTGCACACTAAATGATACTCAAGAATGAAGTAGGTTTGGGAGGTATTGGGATTTTGACAGTCCCTTCAAGCATCAACACCACTTTCTTCATAGAGGGGCGGAGGGATGGATCCTCTTGAATGCACCAAAGGCCTATCTTGATCATCCGGTCTAGTGAGCTTCTATCTACATCCTCATCATTAACTAGTTTTCCTAATTCATTTGCTTTATAACATTCGTAGACCCATTCTTCGAGAATAGCTTCCTCATAAGGAAGGTCGTTGTCAAGCTTCCTTCGACAACATAAAATCTCGAAAAGAACAATTCCAAAACTATACACATCCACTTTAACTGTTATGGGGAGCTTCTTGTGCCATTCAGGCGCAACATAACCCCTTGTTCCTCTTATCAAGGTGGATGTTTTAGTTTGGTCATGTTCGAGTAGTTTTGCCAATCCAAAGTCGGAAATCTTGGCACATCCATACTCGTCCATGAGGATATTTTGAGGCTTGATATCACAGTGAATTATGGGTGTTTCACATTCTTCATGTAAGTAGAAGATGCCATGGGCAATGTCTAGAGCAATCCTAATTCTCTCTGTCCAACATGGCTTGCTTTCTTTGTAATGAAATAATACATCCGCAAGTGATCCTCTGGTCATATACTCCAAAACCAGGAGCCTTTCGGGACCTTCACAGCAATAACCTAGCAGCCTTGTTAGATTACGATGATAAGTTCTCCCAATCACTTTCATTTCAGTTTGAAACTCTCTTTCCCCTTCTTGTGCCAACTCTTTCTTCAATTTCTTCACTGCCACCATCTTCATGGGGCTCTCTATTATTCCTTTGTACACTATTCCAAATGATCCTCTACCCAATTCTTCTTTAAAACCATTTGTCATTCTCTCTAGCTCAGCATATGAAAATGCCCGGAGCCCAACATCCTCGAACAATTGAACATTTACATGCTCAGAAATCTTTTTGTATGCCCAAACGTGAGATCTCCACATGATTACTCCAGAAAGTAGCAAAGCGAGTACTGCAACTGAGACAAGTGAAACCCCTATAACCAAGAATTTCACTTGTCGCACTTTCCTGACCTGGTCTGATGGGTAATTAGTTGGATCCGATCCGTTATTTACAGAAGCCACGTATACTTTAATCAATCCGACATTTGACTCACTATCTCCTACTCGAATGTATCTTATAGGGAGCCTCTGCACCCTGCAACTCTCAGGTGGTGTGAACAGCGCCGCCTCGCATTTGCAGTCATTCATACAAGCAAGTGAACACTCTTCTTGGTTTGATGCTTTTGGGAGAGCATATGCCGCATCTTCCCATTGCGTATTATTAGGCAACCTTGTCATCTGAGAAAAGTTACCTTTATCTCCTTCAGGAATTTTGCAGGTTTCTGCTGTGTAATATCTTTTGCAACCTGAAGACCAAGACCCAGGTTTTACAAAATCAAACCCTGGTAAACATCTGCATCTCGCAGCCTCGTTCATGACATCACAATACGCGTTTACGCCACAAAGTCCCCGCCCAATACACTTGTCTGTAGAAAATTCATATACGACTGATTCATTATGGCTCGTGCTACTTAAATTATGAAAATAAATTCGAAAGATGCCGTCGACGTCAATTTTCATGCGATAGATTGCATCTTCTCTAGAATAGCCTTCTTGCGTTAGATTCATGATATAAAAAGTTGAATTTTGCAACAAGTACAGAAAGCCACCAGAATCAAGATTCAGTGTCACGTTAGGTCCCTTGTCGAAGGTTCCAGACCCCCAGTATGCAGTGGTAGGCCCATTTGGAAACCCTAAATTCGGGTATAGGACAAGGTGCCCATCGGATTGCATACTGAGCTTGAAAATCCCAATGGAGTAGTCAGTCTCCGAGACACAAGAAATTAAATCTTGACCGGGTACAAGACGCTGTCCAACCAAAAGGGTATCAGTAGGGTGGTCAAAGCTTTGCCATAATATCGTCCTCCGGTCGGAACCATAGAGCAAAAAGTTGCCGGAATCTTGCATGGAAGCAATAGAAGCACCGCCGGTACTATAGATACTGATCTGTTGGCCTTGTGTTTGGTCCACGATCACGAGCATTCCATCGATTGTGAAAGTCAAAGTAGAATTACTGGAGAGTGGAAGGGTGTCGCGTCTGGCCGTCCATACCACAGTTCTTTCTGCAATTCCGGCAATATAAATACCGACGGCGTAGCCACCTGTCTGTGGGTAGAAACCAAAGGCGTATAGTCGCGATGGCGACAACCATGAGGTGGTCGCACCTGTAGGCCTTAAAGAGGAACCTCGTGTTACGTTGGATTGGGCTTTCGCTATATTGAAGGTAAGGAAAATGGTGAAGACAAAGGAAATATAGCTGGCTAGATGAGAACTAGAAGTCGCCATTTATGGTAATGAAGGTATAGTTCGCCCGGTTTTATAGGAAAAGGATAGGGGCAGTGGGTACATTTTTAAGCAGATATCTAGCATTTAAAAATATCTATTAGTAAAATATAATTAGGTAGTTTATAAATCAAAATAAATGTTTCCAAAATGAAGGACTTGTAACAGTTGGAAGGACAATATTCTTCCTATGGTGTAGACAGCTTTTTTTTTTTTTTTTAATTAGTATATAGGCGTAATGAAAAAGATGTTAATTAATTGTTTCTTTTATCACATCATTCTATACCAATATTTAATGCTCAAATTAGACGTCGTATCGTTGCTATGATTTACATATTGATTTCATTTTTTTGATTTGATCTAGTTTTGTAGTGTTTTATTTTGATTTAATATTATTGGTTAGGGTCGTCAATTAAAAGGATTGCTTTTAATTTGGTTTAGATAAAAATATAAATCATTAAATTACATGTATAGTTAATTTTAGATTCTACAACGAATAGGCTTTTTTTTTTTTTTTTTTTTTTTTTTTATTTTTTTTTAAATAAATGTTTGATGTTATACTGATGTAATGAGTGAAAATATATTACTGTTGTATGCATGTAGCACAATTTGTAATCCACCAACTTTACCTAAAAAACATAGCAAGTTTTTATCAAATATGGAATATAAAAAATAAAGAAAAATTCATTGAGCAAATTTATGGAGTCAACTTGGCGTATTTTATAAGCTATGCAGGAGGTTCAACTTGTTTGATGGGACTGTGTACTCGGTCGCCAAATTTCAAATCCTTTGCCTTTATAAGATTAAATAGGTTTAAAAAATGTGAAAACCACTGTTAAAAACTAGAGTAAATTACTGAAATCGTGTTTAATCAAATTGCAAGTTTGATCCTTAATTCTTTTTTGGATTCAGATCATCTCTGTGATTTGATTTTGTTGCGTTTTTTGTCCCTTACGTACATAAAGTTAGGGACCAGAGGTGCAATTTCGACCAAACCATAAGGACGAAAAACACAACAAAATCAAACCACAGGGACGATCCGAGTGCAAAAAAAATATTAGGAACCAAACATATAATTTTTACCAAACCATAGGGACAATTTCAGTAATTTACTCTAAAAACTATATATATAATTTATAAATTATAATTCCAAAAATCGATCTAATTATAAAGGTTTTTGATTTACACAAACAAAGATCCTATTCTTAAAGATATGTCGTTCGTTTAACAATTATCATTTGTGCTATTGAGTTTAGGGGTGTTTGGATAGTAAAAAAAATGGTGATTATTGTTTATTGTTTATTCTCACTATAATAAACTAAGTTTAAGTGTTTGGATAGGAATCCTTGAAAATCAGCTTATTGTGGTTGAAATAAGTTAAATAAACTGATTTTAATAAGCATCTCTCCCCTTGCTTGTTGCTTATTGGTTATTCCCACCGCAAATAAGCTAATAAGCTATAATCTAATTTATCCAAACACCCCCTTAATCAATATTCTTCTAATTTCAATAATATCAACGAAAATTGAATCGAATAAAGTTTGGTTTACGATTTAATTGATCCGTATACGATTAAGTCCGAATAAGTATAAACCAAAAATTAACAATATGGTAAAGATAAATACTAATAGTAAAAGTCAACGATGAGAGGATATGGTGGATCATCAAAGACGGGAGGTAAGACAGATCAGGAAAGACATCACTTCTTCGTATACGATAAGTTCAATGGTAAAAACACAGTTTCTTTCTACTTCACAAACATCCCTCCAGATCATAATGAACCAGAGCTTTGGGAAACCTTCAAGAAGTTTGGAAAGATTGTGGACATCTTCATTGCAAGGAAAAAGAAGAAAGCTAATCAGAGATTTGGATTGGTCAGATATTTGGGCATAGAGAACGTTAAAATCTTTGAGGTGAAACTCAACAAAATCTGGCTAGGGTTTTTCAAACTGAGAGTCAACCTTGCAAGATCCCAAAAAAGGTCAATAGTAAAAGTTAATGAACAAAATCAAAATCACAAACTAAAAAGTGTGATTATTAGACCAAACAAATTAAAGAGCATAGTTATTCAAAAGAATAAGGAGGCATTTGGGAAGCCTTCTTTTGTTGAGGTTGTGAAATGTAACAAAGCTTCAATGGGTAATGGTGAAGGAAGTGAAGAGAATGGAAAGGATCGGAAATCAAGTCAAGATCTGGATAGGCATGAGATTAATGTATGCTAATCGGAAGTCATGAGAAAGAAACTCAAATGTGCACTTCTTGGAGAGGTCAAGTCTTTTGATCTGCTCAAGAACTTCAACATGTTTAAAGACTCAGAAGGCATCCATGACATCACTCTTTCTTACATAGGATGACTAAACATCATCCTTGAGTTTTCTACATTTGAACTGGCTCTTCAAACTAAAGTTGTGGCTTTGGATGTGATTATTGAAGCCATTGGTTTAGACGACACGTCCCTTAAAGAAAGATAAGATACCTTGTTAAAAATTCAACAATTACAGACGTATAAGATGCTTGACATTAGATAGAAGGCTAGGTGCAAGTGGATTTTAGAGGGGGGACGAGAACTAAAGGTTTTTCCATGGTATCATCAACATGACCATGAAGAGAGCTCGAATAAATGGCTTAAACATCAACGTGGTGTGGACTACCAATCCGAAAAGAATAAAAAATGAGGTATTTAATTTCTTCAAGAACAAGTTCAAAGAAAATCTTCCCTGTAGACCGACCTTTATAAGTTCCAAATTCAGAATCCTTACAGAACTAGATCGGAACTACCTGGAATGGATATTCACAATTGATGAAATTAAAGATACCTTATGGAATTGTGGTAATGATAATTGCCCAGGTCCAGATGGTTTCAAATTTAAGTTCATAAAGAATTATTGGGATATTATTGGGGGGGATGTGGTGGATGCGGTGAAACATTTAGAACTTCATAAGGTCTTAAACCCAGGTAGTAATGATTCATTCATTTCTTTGGTTCCCAAAACAAATGACCATGTCAACCTGATGGAGTATAGGCCGATTAATCTTATTGGGTGCATCACTAAAATTATCTCAAAAACTTTGGCATGTCGCCTTGAATAGGTTATCGGGTCTATTGTTAGTATCAAGCAATCATCCTATGTTAGCAGAAGGAATATCATGGACGAACCGTTACTAGTTTATGAGATTATATCGTCGGCCAACAGGAAAAAGAAAAAATATATTTTGTTTAAAGTTGATTTCGACAAAGCTTTTGACTCTTTAAGTTGGAATTATTTGGAGGATTTCATGAGGAAAATGGGGTTTGGAAACACATGGCGAAGTTGGGTCCGGGCTATTCTTTCATCCTTGGAGGTTTCAGTTCTGGTCAATGGATGCCCTACCAAAGATTTCTTTTTAGAAAAAATGGTGAGATAGGGAGATCTACTCTCCCCTTTTCTATACATTATTGCAACATAGGGTCTCAAAGTCGTTTTGGAAGAGGCTATACAAAAAAGGATCTTTGAAGGAATTGAGATGACTAATGAAGGGCCAAATATCTCCCTTTTTCAATATGATGATGATGCCATTTTCTTGGGGAAATGGTCTAAGGACAATGCTAGAAATCTTCAAAGAATCCTAACTTGCTTTCACCTTGCGTCTGGTCTAAAGGTGAACCATCAGAAGAGTGAGATTTTATGTAATGGAGTTTCTAGAGGAGAGGTGTCTTCTACAGCTTGGTCATTGAAGTGTCATGAAGGCAAACTTCCCTTCTATTATCTTGGTATGCCGGTAAGTGGAAAGTCTTCTTATGTGTTAACTTGGGTTCCTCTTATTGACAAGTTCCAATAAAAACTTTAAATGTGGAAAGCAAGAACTCTTTCCATAGAAGGGAGACTAACCTTGATAATGTCCGTTCTTGGTAGCCTTGAAACATTTCTCTTTTCGCTTTATAAGGTCCCTAAAAAGGCAATTTCAAAGCTCGAAAGTATCCGTAATGGATTCTTATGAGGTACTTCCTCGGATCAAAAAAATATCACATGGATTGTGTGGCAGAAAACCCTAAAATCCAAAGCTTTAAGGGGCTTAGAGATTGGAAGCTTGCGAGTGTGTCACCTTGCTCTTATCATGAAGTGGTGGTGGTGCTATAAAGATGATACATAAGGAATTTGGAAAAAGGTTATTACTTGCATTTATGGGGAACATGGGGGCTAGGAGTGACGATACCATTAGGTAAAATGAATACAGTTTGGGGCAGAATAAGCAATGTGTGTAATGATCTGGAGCCTTTCAATATTGATCTTAATACACTTTTATATAGAAGAAATGATTATGGGGGTAATTCCAACGGTAGTAAGTGTAGCCGGAGTCTTGATGCTAGTGGCGAATTCACTATATCTTCCTTTAGGAAAGAAATTGACAAAAGCTTCTTGGAGTCTACCAATATGCCTACGGTTTGGACTAATATTGTTCTAGGGAAAATCAACATTTTCATATGGCGTGCTAGACTTGGTAGATTATCGACGAGAGCTAACCTTGCACAGAGGGGGGTCGGTATTCCAATTACGTTCTGCCCGATGTGCAATACTTTTGAGGAGAATGAAGATCATATATTTAAAGATTGTTCAACCACTAGGGAGTTAGGAGCTCTTCTACGTGTGTGGTGGAAGGATGCTCTCAATGAAAATGACTCTTTGGAGAACCTCATTGGAGTAAACTCAATCCACAAAAGGCAGCAGAAAGAAAGATATCATGGACGTGATCTCTATGGTCTTCTTATGGGTTATATGGACGTACAGGAACGGTTTGATCTTTAATAGCAAAGTGAAAAACCTTTCACTTCTTGCTTTTGATGTCAAATCTTTAGGGTTTTTGTTGCTAAAATTTGAGCTAAGTAGGGGAGATCTTTGTCTTGGGACTCATGGGTTAATAACACAATCTACTACTGTTAAAAAAAAGTAATAGCTCAATAACAAAAAAAGGTGAAATGACAATGTTTTGATAAAAAAATTGAAATTATAATAACGTCATAGAAAGAAATAAAAGTAAGATTCTATAACAAACACTAAGTGGGTGTTTGAGAGTACTTTTTAAATTGACTTATTAGCTTACTGGCTTTTCAAAAAGCCAATAAGTTAAAAAGGTGTTTGACAATACGAATGTGTTGTTTGTTTTTTCGAAGCGAAAATTCATAAAGTATGCAGACCAAATCTACAACTCTCTGCAGTAGAAGAAGTAGACCAAACGACTACACCCTACAATAAGAAGATTGTTTGTTTTTTAACATCTGCAGACTGTTGCAATAAACTGAAATATAAATAAACTGATTTTACAAACAGAAAATATTTCTCAACACTGATATTTTAATAATTCTAGTCTTTAAACATTGAAAGAATTCAAAAAATACCATTTAAAAAAACAAATATATAAAAGTTCTAAACAAAAATATAAAAGAAAGTAATAGTTTTTTCAAGAAAAAACTAATTATAAAGAACATAAAAAAAAAGAAAATTATTATAAAAAATTAAGAAAACATTGAAAAGAATGTGTAACACTCGAAATATGGAAGTTTCCTTTTAGGCCTTTATGCAAAATTGTTAACATTTTGGTCCTTGGCTAGTGAGTAATGTTAGTGTACTAGCTCTTAGCTGATCGCGGGTTTCCCCCACGTACGTGGGGCGTACATGGAGTACGCATGGCATACATGGTGTAACAGCCCGGATCCCCAGGTATCTTCATTTCATATATTTTTGGCATTTTGTGAGGGGACTCGGCGAGTTGGAGGTCGAACTCGCCGAGTCGGGTCGTGGTTTTGGGCGGGGGTTCGCATCCGGACTCGGCGAGTCCAAGGGATGGACTCGGCGAGTCCGTGCTGTTTAATGAAACCCTAATTTCCTGGCCCTAAGCCCTATTTAAAGGACCTTATGGCCCTCATATGCGGCCACCTTGAACCCTAAGAGCCCCCATACGTCTGTGAGCCCTTGTGAGAGTGTTTGGAGGCTTTTTGTTCATTATTTTGTGGGATATTGCAAGGAAAGGAGGGAGAGGATCAAGCTTGGAGAGTTGGGGAGCTTGGATCTGTTGCTACTTCACCAAGGGAGTCTTCTTGAGGTAATTTTCAGAGCCAAACTTCGTGTTTTGTGTTGATGTGCCAAATCTAGGGTTTCTTCTTGCATTTCTTGGCTTGAATTAGAAGTATGAGAGGTCCCATGGAGATATGGAACCTAGATCTGAACTTTAGCAGGTCCAGGAGACCCCTTATGACAAGCTTTATGTCCATTCTTTTGAGTTAGAAGCTAAACTTGCCATATTAGAGGTTGTTTCTTCAAAATAAGCCTTGTATGCATTGCATGGCAACCAAGACCGAGACTTTACGTGACAAATAAGCTTGGGAAGGTAGATCTATGTATGTATGGAACGAAATCTGACCGCAAAAGCCAGTTTTAGCTGGTGGATGGCATGGACTCGCCGAGTCTGAAGAACAGACTCGACAAGTCGCTTGAAGATTGTCCTTGAGACCATCCTGTGTGTAGTTTCGGACCGAGTTGAGGGTGACTCAGTGAGTCGCAGAGAGTTGGAAAGGTTTTGATAGGTGGACCGAGTCAGGTTGGGACTCGCCGAGTTGACCTTAGACTCGGCGAGTTGAGTCGCGGTGGCCCTGTGATTCAGGCCCAGGGGGAACTCGTCGAGTCGGGGGAGTACTCGATGAGTTAAAAGGGAAAAACATTGATAGTTGATTAAAATGCGTAGACTCGCCGAGTCACCAGTGTGCACTCTCCGAGTCCGGTCCAAATTGATTAAAGACGATTGACCAAGTCAACCTGTGTTGACTTGATAAGGATGGCCCACCTTTGTGGTACAAGTAATAATTATAGATTTATAATATCATAGGAGGATTGCAGCTCGAGGGTTTGAGCTCGAGTGATTTCAGGATTCACGATTAGCGACTTAGCGAGGCGTACGAGGTGAGTCTTCTCACTATACTGTACCCGGAAGGGTTTTGACTGTGTGACCGGAAGGTCGAATATGATATGAGATATATGCCTTATGTGTGTTAAGTTATTTGTTATATGTGCCATGTATGATATGCTTGATTTGGGCCGGAAGGCAACATGATATAGGCCGGAAGGCGTGGTCATATGGACTGTAAGGTTGACGTGGGTAGGACCGGAAGGTTTACCCAGTCGGGACGGAAGTCCCCTGAGACACAAGGACCGGAAGGTTAAGGCCTGGAAAGGCGTATGTGCGTATGTTG